GCCGCCGGCTTTGAGATGCTCTCTTCCTGATCCTGGCCAAGCGCTAAGCATCATCGACTTAGCCCGTATTGTAAAAGCCCAGGCGTGGTGGTCTCGTCATCGCCGTTCAAGTGGCCTTGAGTGGAGACTGTACGAGTCGGTGAACGGCTTTTATCTCGGGCTGAACAAGGTCAACTGCGATCAATGACCAGAATTAGCCGGTGCTGGTGAAAGGCGGAGGAGGAAAGATGACTCATAGTTCGGATAGAATTACCAACTGTAGAATGCTCAGCAAGAACGTCTATCTAGGAGTGTCCATACCTTCGTTCGGGCCTTTTTTTACATCGGAACTATTAAGTCCTAGAGTAAACCGTAAAGTTACAGTAATCCGACCGTTACATTATGGCTCTCCGAAAGTGCTTCCTAGAAGGAATTTCCGCTTGATTAGTTTGCGAACAATTCCGGTCTAGTCTTTTGCTAAGCGTATGCAGCGCTATGTTTATGGATGTAGTCGTCATCGTCGTGGAACATCTGGTCTGGGTAGATTAGCACCACGAGCAGAAGTGACGCGCAGCTTTGTTACATAACTATGGGGAGCTTTAGCAGCTGCCCACGATGCACGGAGCCGAGCTTTCCGACATTTCACTGGCAAAATTAGGCATTAGATAATAACTAATTTACAGGGTATCGAAGTAGCCATTAGTCATGCAGCGTTTGTGAGCTTAATTCAACGAAGTCAAATTTGATACACTTCAGGTTCCGAATCAATCGCCAGTCAGATCCGAAACGGCAATTTACGATCGATCAGGATGGAACGTTGCGAGTCGCTCAACGTCCGTTTGGGATCGTGAAGACATCAGTAGCTACAAGCTTATTATCGAGGCGTTTGACGCCGGTTAGTAGAGATTACTCCAATTCATGGCCGTTTAGCTGAGATAGTTCTGAGCTAAACGCCTGGGTGTGGACATTAGCAAACTAGTCCGATAGGCTACGGCGCAGGTAGGGCTGCTGTCTGGGGTCAAGCCTTTTGCCCGTAACTCAGCACTCGTGTGGTAGTTCTCTGATATAGCAATCCAGCTGCTGAAAAAAACCCAAAAGGGATTGGTGTACATTTGAGAATACAGATTAGTAAAGGAAAATATCACATAGTATAAAAAAAAAAAAATATCGCTGTTTAGAAAAAATACCTCATCGCAAAACGCAAGTTTCTGTAGAGGCAATGTGTTCTGAAGCGGAGCTGGTGTTTCCATCGCAGGGATCGTGATTGGCAATTTTTAAGCGCTTGTGGGAATTTCGAGGGCGGTCTTTTTTCTAATTATTGTCATGTCATTTGGTGTATGTTTATTTATGTATGTTCTGTGTGTTTTAGGCCGGCAACGTTGGAAACTCCAGCTTGGTACCGTCCTATTTGCCGACATCGCTTAAATGATAATGGTCCTGAACCGTATACGGTACCGAAATTCTGTGTGCTTCCCGAGAATACACCAGTCAATCAACAGGGCACGTGTGAAATTCGTTGCACTGGACAAGTGATTCACCGGTGAGTTATAGTTCGACTTGTATTATCAGTGATAATTATTCCCTGTGGTCACTGTCTTTTCGACGAAGAAGGCGTTTTCTCTTGCATCGTCTTCCCCAGAATCTGAAGGGAGGAGGGGAACAGGGATCCCAGATTCGAAAAAGGAAAAGGGAAGAGCAAGAAAGAATGAGAAAGGAAAAGAAAGAAAAGAGGAAGAAAAATGTAAAGGAGGGAGGCTTCGCTGTTGACAGATAATCAGGGACGGTTTATTCCAGTAGGATTTATTTCTGCAACTCATGCCTCGATGACTTGCGCTCGCCCTAGTTTATGGTGCTTTATGTGCTTATCTGTTTGGAGAATCTGAGTGGCGAACACAGAATGGGTCTTATCAACATGCATTGAGTTTATATCAGATTTTCTTTTTACCTCGAAATAGCTTAATGTTCCTCTTTTGTGCCAGTGAGGAACTTGCTGAGGTTATCCTGAGGAGGCACTGGAGACCTTTGAATTAATGTTTTTGTCAATAGAAATCAAAATTTTCTTCTTTTTCTGGCGGCATACCTCCTCAGTGTAGTCAGAGTGTATGGTCATTGAACATAGAACTGGTTACGGTACTCGAGAAAGCCAGGTGTCATCTAGTAGTGAATACCAGCATTATTCCGTTTCTGAATTGTGTGCTCGTGAAGGTATGTACTTATGTATAATTTTCAGTGAATTTGGGCCACCGTTCAATATGCAACTCGATCAGAGTAAATGGAGATTTGGCGACTATTTAAGTGTGACATTTGATGCCCGTGAGTACTTTTTTAGTTCTAAGTTCTTAATCCGATTAGCTTTCTGCAATACACGCTCAAATCTCCATCGTTCCATTTACAGATGGTGATGGCGGTAATGGATCGATGACAATCCGCCCATTGGTGGTATTCGATCGAGAGGCAGCTAATCCGGGTAAAATTCTCGAAATTCCATTGATTCTCACCGATCGCGCGGATAAAACGAATCACGCATCCGTACATGTCATCATTGGAGACGAGGTAGGTGATGGAATGTTTAGCCCTGGAAACATTGGGCGTATCCCATTGATTTAGTGCTAGATTGTGAGGTTAAGCGCAGTTTTACGGTCACTATTTTACGTTCATAAACAGACATCAAAGAAATCTGCACATTTTGTTTATAATCCACATCTGGGCAGTTCTGAGACGGCTTGGGTAAAGTTTATCCCGAATGAGCTGTATACTTGCGAACAAAGGATAAGAATGGACCCTTCTGTTTTTTTTGGCCCCTATTGTGGTTATACAGTCCGTATGTGATGAATTATTCCGGGGGGCATAAGGTTTACTAGGAAGGGCTCTGTAGCCTCGGTTTGGCCAGGACACACGATCGTTTAAGGCGGGGAGGGGAGGAAAGGTGGGGGAGATTTTACAAATAGATGATTTTTCCCGTTTCATGCACTCTATACCCCTTATACCCTTATCGTTGGCAGCAGGAGGGGGGGGGGGGCATTTCGCATTTTCACAACTTCTCACTGTTGTGTCGAGCCATCATGTAGAAATCTCTCAGATCATGTGAAGACATGAAGTGCTACCAGTTGAAGTTTGTAGGGACCACTTGTCTCATCTTGTGCAGGATTTTTGCCAACTCTTGTAACACAATGAAGACGTCGATGGGAAGCGAAAACGCAAAATGCCCCCTGCCCAAGCGGAATTGCGCCGGTAGTTGTGAGAGGGGATCGTAATGATACCACCGCTCAACCATCGCGATGGTGTTCCATGTGTGAGCCATTACTCCTATTTTGTAAGAAGGAACTGTCATTTACCTGTTCCCCGAGAAAGGTTTGGGTCCTGTTCCATGAAGGACACTACCTGCCGCTGGGGAAGTTTTTCTGGTCTTTTTCTCCACTGGGGAAGTTTTGGTCTTTTTCTATCACTTCCCTCCCCCACCCACAGAAAAATTCCTCATCTGGTAAGATTCCGTCCCTGCCAAACTTTCATTGCTTTCTACCACTTTTCCGTCTGTATAACAAGTTCCCAGTTTCCCTCAGGAAATCCCCGAAACGGCCGTCGAGTCGAAGTAAGGGGAGGAGGAGGAGGAGTTCGCCGACAAACAACTACTAAAATCGAACTATCAAAAAAAATTCTCGGACCGAATACGACCCATCCTCCACCGACCATACGACCCATACCCCCCCCCTCTCCTCCGCTGGGGATTTCCCAACGTACTACGTGCCCTGGTTCCGCACGCTTGAATACTGTAGACTTCCATTTATAACATAGATTACCTG